AAAACTTCCAGTATTTACTGTCGTTCTAAGTGTCTTATCAATAGATAATAAAACCGAAGGTGTAGTTGAACTATCTGCAACTCTAAACGCTGTGTTTGTTGTTCTAGATATTACATCAATTGTAGATAAGTTAGTTCCATCATAACAGGTTGATATTTCATTTGTTCTCATTAAGATATCTGTTCCAGCTGCCATCGAAGTATTATCTAAAAAGGAAGCCGTTGTTAAATCAAATGATTGAATGGTATTAGTTGCTAAACAAGCATTTTGAACTGCTAAATTAGTATCAACGGGTACTAATGTGCCACCACTAGGTGCTACATGATTACTTCTTAATGCTCCACCAGTTTTGACATATGCATTGTCGGCAAATAGATTACCCATAGCATCAGCAGTAGCAGTGTTAAAAGTCCATCCAGTAGAAATATTAATTGCTCCAACGATACTAGATTGAACGGCAGGGTCTCCACATATCAAACATTCACATTTTGTATCAATTGTTAATTTACCATCAGTAGCAATATTAACATTATCACAATTAACATCAGCATTTGTATAAATATTACCTAACACATCAACAGGTCTATTAAGAATGGTTTTATTAACTAATCCATCACACATCATATACTGGCTGCTTGAATTACTAACATCGCCAACACTCACAGCAACACAATTATTATGAGCCATATATAAACCTTCTATTCTATCAGGTGTATATCTTCGTATTGAACCATTATTATTAAAAATGAAAAATGAACCATTGTTAAGACTTACTGCTTTATCAGTACCTATAAACTGGACAGCGTCAGTAAATCTCGCTTGTCCAGCACAGTTTAAAACATAACCATTAACACCAACAGCACCTAAACCGAACCTATCCTCAACCCACACACGACCAACATTGGCGTGTCCTATTTGAGTTTCCCACTGACCACCTGCGCCACTCATCCACATTCTACTATCTCTATTAATATTAAATTCACGATTAGACATTTGAACTGTCATCTGTAATCCTAAATCAGGTGAAGGTGCAGTTTTAAATTTATTACATATTATTGTATTATCACTAAAATTAATAGCACCTGCTACTGATTGAGCGTTAGTATCTATTGTGTCTACCTTTACGCAAGTAAATCTGACATTCAAGCAGTATTAGACAGTAAGGCCGACCAAATAGACACTTACACCAAACAAGAAATAAATGCATTTTTTTGTATGACATAACACAATAATATAACAAAACAGAAGTTTTTGTATTCTCAAATAACATCAGTTCAAACGCTTATTTCATTATGAATAATACAGCAACCATAGCAGGTAATGTATTTCATGTTTCATCAAATATATTCTTAATAGGTAATCTGACAATAACTTCAAATACAAATTTTAATATGTCATCAAATACATATTTATTAACAAATTTTTAATTTCTACTATAACAACTAATTTCAATAATATTAGTTCTAATTCTAGTTTAATTAATACAAAGATTAATAATAGTTCATCAAAACCATGTTTAATAAATAATTTAAATTCTACTATAGCAACAATTTTAATATTATTAGTTCTATTTTTGATTTAATAACAGGTCTGAATAGGACAATAAAATCACATATTACAGAAATATCAGATTTACAGAATGGAGGTTCATTTAATGAAGCAGATAATTATAATAAAGCATCAACTAAGAAGTCATTATCAGAGAAGTTAGATACATCAAGAAATAATACATTAATACATAATATAACAACCACAGCGACTTTTAAAAAAGCAGAATTTGGAAATTATAATTATTATCATGAATTATACAATAATTATATTGATACTTATGCTTATGGACGTTCAACAGGTTCAACAATGTGGTTAAATCAGCGAGGTTTTGGTGATGTAGAAAGTCATAATTCTTCAATTTTTCAAAATGATAGAATATTATTTTAAATCATAATACTACAATATTAAGTAATTTACAAGTATCAGGATTATTTTCTTGATCGTCTATTTTAGATATAGCAGGTTCTGCCGCTCGTTATGTTTTACAATCAGATGGATTAAGTGGATTAAGAACAGGAAATACAAATACAATTAACTCAATAATTACTATCAATAATTCACAGGATACATCATTAGGTCAAAAGTTAGACTGTTCCATCTTTTACTTGCCTAATTCTATTCGCTGTAATATCAAAGATATTCATTAATTTTTTGCTCATAATATCATATTGTTAACTAGAAAGTCAATAATATCACATTTTTTTAGATTAGTCATAAAAGGTTACGCTCACCCATTTTACTATCAGTATAACATGGTGAGTTCTCTATCGCCTTTATCTTCACAACTATTTTCAAATTCATTCCAGTATAGCAGACTCTAATTTTTGGAGATGCAACCCATACATAAAAGCGTGAGACCTATAATCTTCCGCACTAATCAACATAGGTTTATCTGCACAATGCATAAGATGGACGTACGCTTCACGAATGCCTTGTATCTCCTGCGATGAAATAACTTGATTATCAATTATCAAAGAAGCAGGTAAATCGTGCTCTGGGTCATAGTATCCTTTATCATTTGTTGCGTGTGCCAGTGGATGATACATAAAGTTATATTCTTTCAGTAATTCACCGTATCCACCTACATTTCCCTTTTGAGTGGCATTTGAAGAATAAATATACAGTTTATTTAGTTTGGATACATTACGGACAATAGTTGTGAATATGTTGCTTGATGTTGATGCAGTTTGTTCTTGTAAGGTTTCAGTTTCAAAAGTAATCGGAAGAGAATCATTTTCTAACACTTTAGCATACTCGGCATATAACCTATTATCAAGAGTATAAACCTTTTGTTTGAACAGTTGTTTTGTATCTGACCACATGATGCTCGTATTTGAAGAAGTAAAAAGTCCTGTTCTATTAACAATTGGTTTTTATATATCAGTGGTTAAATATAATTCAATCGTGATTGGACAATAAGATAAAGGTATCTAGGTTTCACAAGTCTTGAAACATTTTAAGTTTAAATCAGAATAGACATTAGCACTTTTACCTTCTTGAATTCCTCTAAAATGACGTTGGTAACATTTCTAACGACTGTTTGTGAATTAGAGGTTGCTGTCGCATCACAAGTTAAAAACCTCCCATCATGATTAAGAAGAGTATTTCCAAAACCTAGTGCTTCATCAATTGTTTTTCTTCTGATTTTAGTACATCTTTCATTGAACTCGCACGAGAAAGATAATTCAAATCACATACAATGATATCACCCATTACACGCACCCTAACAAAGAAGCCTGCTGTATCAATTGGTCGTTGAGTTCATGGCTTTCTGCTGCATCAGTGTTTAGAGTAAATCCTTTTTGTGAAGGAAGTGAAAGCCATTGGTTACGTGGTCCTGCAATGTGAAAATCGAGTTACAGAATTTGTATTAGCAGTATAAGTAGAACATGATGAAGGGTAAAAGTGTTTACTTTCTGTTGAACGGGCATAAGAACCACCGTCTTTTGATTTAACTCTCAAATTATTTTCAACAAGAAGATCTGAAATATCTAATGCTTCCATGACTTTTATATTTATATAATAATAGAAGTTGTTTTTATAAATATTATATATATCCACATATATTTTGTTTGCTAGTTTTTTTAAATACTTATTTCTAATATTATTATTTTCAACCTTATTATTAGGCTCGTCTTCTACAATCTTTTTAATGTCATCATAACTTTTTTTTGATTTATGGGATTAACATTATTTTTCATATCATTATTAGGCATTATATATAAGACTATATAATTTCCTTTACAGGCTCAATACTTCTTGTTACATCTTTGCCTGTATCGGCATATAATGCTCGTTGATGATTTGTTAATGGGTTAACACCTCCTGTATTTGTTGTTATACTACTTCTATCTAAAGCACTGACCACATCTCCAACATTTCGTAGGCTTGTGGAGCTGTCATTATTTTTGTTTGACATTGAAATAAAAGGGGCACCGATTATTTGTATGATTTGGGTTAACAGTTAGAATATCATCTTTTCCACTGGTTAACCACTTTTGCGGAGTAAACATAGGGTTGTTTTTAGACTGTTCTTATTGGTTGGAAATTGGAAAGGGTGTCAAGTTGGATCAAGGGAGACATGTTTGAGATTTTGGGGTTGTGATCTTGGGAATGAAGATTTGTTGGTATGTAGCTTGGATATCTTGGATTTTTCGGGTGGGATTTGTTGACGTGGTCTGTAGTTCTGATTGTTGTTATTGAATGAGTGTAGGGATGATGTTGAGATGGAGTAAGAAATGAAGATGGGTATGAGAATGTGTTTTTGGTGTTGGATTGGTTGGGTGATTGGATTTGAAGGTTGAAAGTGGAATGTGCCAAAAAGTGTAGGGGGGACCCTATGACTAGATGGCAATATGCGGAGGGGCAAGGCCTGCTCTAACTAATAGATTGGTTCAGGTCCGTCCCTGAAGTGCCAGCGATTCTTTTTCCGCGAGGCCAGCGCTACACCCTGGAGACCAAGCTGGGTGCCGGGGCTTTCGGCACCGTGTGGCGGGCCCTGCGACGCGCTGATGGCTTGGGGCCCCGGAAGGACGTCGTTTTCTGGCAACGTGGTCTCGCGGTTCGTTGTTTAGTCATGAAATGGATCACTTCATCACCAAAAGCGATGAGCTTGCCCCGAGCTCAAAGAAACGCATCCGTTGGCTGTCGGGAAGAGAAGTAGCGGACAGTGTTGGTTCAACAAGGGCCTGATCCGCTGTTTGAGACCACTGGGCTTGTGTTAGCGCCTCGCGTATTTTACCTTGCTTCCTTTGGTTGGCGGCACCCCTTACACGATCACTCACCATCGTGCTGCTTCAGATTCGGGAGCAAAGGTCTTCGAGTCTCGTCGCCGGGATAGGTTCCCTGAGTTCCATGCGAGAGCCAAGGCTTGCCCTTCGCAGTGAAGATGAGCCGCGGATGGAGAAGGGGAGAGGGTTCCGTTGAAGAGCTAAGCTGCCCAGAATCGGATGGTCTTGGGAGCCGGTGGCCTCTGCAAATGTTTGTTGCCCAATGCTGAGGTCTATTGGGCGGCGGAAAGGTATGAAACCTACAAGACTGGAGTCCGGACTCTTGTGCACATGCAAATGAGCATGCAGCAGACATACTCTTGGCTTTCTTCACCACAGTTGTTTTCCACACCAACATGGCACGAGTTCCCATTTTTTAGGCGATTCCATGGCGATGTCTCGCAAGTCCATGAGGTGCACTCACTTGGTGGCATACACACATCGGCGCAAGGATCCCACGGAGCAAGCATCCGGACCTTCATTGGCTTCAGAGGGAGATCGAAATCATGAAGGCCGGTTTGAGCGGGATGAATGCCCACCCTTAAGGGACCTCTGGTAGGCCAGTCAGAGTGTTTCAGTACGCCGCGTTTAGGGTCCGATAGAAAACAGGCCAGGATGGGGTGCCGTGAGGTTGGGATCTCATGGTTTCTCGCCTGGTTTCAGTGGCACCTGCGTCATTGTTTTGGGGCACCCAAATGTGCCACCCCTTTGAGAGCAAGTCCTTGTTCAGGCAAGAGCATTCCTCATGTTTGCATCTTTGGAGTTTGCGTGCACTCTTCCAAGTTAGCAGGGACTGTTTTTGGATGAGCTCATTGTTTTGGAGAGCTCTCTCAGAAGCCAAAGGGCGAGTGCAGCAACCACATCGTTTCGAAGCCGAATGTTACAGAGAATTTGTTTGTGTATTTGTGTGGAGAATGCACCTATTCTTTGTCATTTTGCTTCTAGACATAGGGTGAATGGCTCTAGATGCATCGAACAGAAGTGGCTTAGTTGCCAACACCTAGTACTTTGGTGTCTTTCAGGCAGTATCGCATATCAGCCGTCATTTTATCGCTTTCAGCATGTTCCCTGGATTTCTCTTCCACCTCACTACACTTCTGATTTTTCCTTGTCCTTCTCCCCTGCTAGAATCCTGGCGTTGAAACAACACGAGGCCGCAAGCCGAATCCCCTGAGTCATGTCCCAGCACCAAGCCTGAGTTGTGGAGCCTGGGGCTGATTTGGGCACCAACCTTTTTGGGGCTTGCTCACTTCAAGGTCGGATCAGGTTAGGGTCGTGTGCCGTTTGTTGGATAAATCCACTCCGCGGCGATTTACCAGACAGAGAATGGTTGATATGGTCCGGTCGCGATCTTGCCAGAAGGCGCAAAAGCTTTCCGAGGTGCTTGTAGTTGGCCTTCCATGAAGTACTCTGCTTGAGTTGGATCCATCAAGTATCCTGCTTCAGAGACGTGGCAGACCTGCTGGTGTCCCCAGGTCTTTGAGGAGTCAGCCCCATAGTCTTGCACTTCGCTGGAACAACTCTGGCCCGCCTTTTTTTTTTTTTTGGGGGGGGGGGGAAGCTTTTTTTGATATTTATTTTTATTTTATTTCTACTTTTGGAAGGGGAAGGCAAAAAACCCCAAGAACGCCTGCGTTGCCACTTCGTCAGGCCTTGGACCACCCACATGTGCTGAAGCTTCACGAGGAGCCATGGGTCTGGGTGAGTGGGGTTGCCTTGGTTGGGTCACGGCCTTTGGGGGACACCGGCCATTTTGGGGAAAGCCACGAAAAAACCTGGGCACTCTGGCACAAACACCTGTTATACAAAACCACAAGATTCTTGTTGTCCAAGCACTTTTTGGTTGCTTCATTGGCTTTCTTTCTATAGGTGGCTGCCCTTGCTGGCTTTGGCGCCGCGGTAACGTGGAGAGTGATTGTTTCTTTTTAACAGGGACTCCCCCCCACCCCCTCCCAAAACAGAATTCCCTTTGGTTTCCCGAAAAGAAAACACACAAAGGAGGTACCCTCAAAAAAGAGGTACCCAGCAAGCGACCCCAAACAGCAAAAGTGTTTAGAGAGACAGGAACCCTGGCAAATAGCAATGCTGACTTGCTTCTGTATATAGTTTCCTGCAATGACACAGGGTCTCAAAACAAGGTGCAAGACACATAGACGATGTCTTGTGGAAAGAGGTTCCGCGAAGATTTCTGAGAGAGAAGTTCTGTAGTAATGTTTCCGCAGAAAGTCCTAGGCAAGATCTCTGTGGCAGGATCTTTGCAGGATCTGTGAATAGGATCTCTTGGCAGGATCTCTAGGCAGGATCTCTTGGGCAGATCTGTGCAATTGTCTACAAGTTTTCTCTTCCGCATCTATAGAAAACATCCTCCACATGTTGAGAGGATCTCCATGAAGCACCAGCGCAGGATATCCCTGGCAGGATCTTTACAAGTTCTGCGCGCAAGATCTGTGGGTAGGATGTCTTTATATGATAATTACCCTGCACAAGCTTCCTGCATCCTGTGCAAGGCTGGAAGGGATCTGGTTGAAGTGCTCCGGGGTCATGTGTTCAAGATCTCGGCGCAAGACCTCTTGAAAGGATCTCTTGGCAAGATCTGTGCACAGGATCTCTGGGCAGGATCTTGATAGGCTCTCTTTGCAAGTTTTGTGCGCAGGATGCATGAGAGGACCGAGGAACGATCCTCTATGTACAAGTTATATATGGCTCCTCTGTCCCCTACAAGATCTGTCGCAAGGAAATCTTTGCAGGTCCTGCGCAAAAGCCCGGTCGGCGCAAGAGATCGATGAGGATCTTCATGAGATATCTGCGCAATATGCAGGGTAGGAAGACCTCTTGGCCGGATCTTTGTCCACAATCCGTTTTTTCTTCTGTTTCTCAAAAATACTTCGGCGCATGATCTCTTGAAAGGGTCTCTTGGCGCAACTGTGTGCCAACTCTTTGTAGAATCTCTCAGCAAGATTTGTGCGGAGAAGCCCAACCAGCGTAAAATGTCTGTGGGATCTTTGCAGACTCCCTGCGCATCCAAGGTCTGCAGAGGGTGCGCCCATCCACCGTCTCCAGAATTCGCACGGCGCGACCGTGAGAGCGCGCCCCAAAGTTGGCCTGCGCAGTCGGAGTGCGCATGAATATTTCACAAGAGAACTTTTGTGCTAGCCTGCGCAGACGATGCGCCCGCCCTGATCGAGCGCCGCCTTGCTCATTCCTAACCTCAACCGTAAGAACCCCTGAGTGTAAACCCACTGCTTGGAAGTTCTCACGCAACCAATCCGAACCCCCTGGACAATTGGGGAAACCGCGGGGGCGCTGAGGTGTTCGAGGACGAACGCTTCGTGTATCTCGTTGTGGAGCTGTGCCTTGTCTTCTGACGGAGGGAGCCGATGGGACCAGCGGATGCTTGGAGAAGGACGTCTACGCGTGCCGAAAAATCAGTGTATCTTACATGAGTGACAATGGTGGTTGTAACCCTGCGACCCTGCCTTTGTGTTATCGCAGCGCCTCCAGCTGACAGCTCGTCCAACTCCCGCAGCCCAATGTTGCGGTGAAGCCCGGCTACGCATGTACTGTCCTAAAATTGAGCCCAAACGAAGCTCCTGAATGATGTTTTCTGGAAGACACATGGACTTTTTTCAAAAGGACCCTGTTTTTGGTTTGTTTTGGGAGTGCTGAGTGATGAGAGAGAGAGAGACTCAGACTGCAGAACAAGAGAACGAGAGCTTCCGAGAGAAAGAGTGAGAGCAATCAGACGTGAGAGAGAGAGAGCGAGAGAGAGAGCAACAGAGAGAGAGAGAGAGAGAGAGAGCAGGAGAAGAGAGAGAGAAAGAGAGCGACAGAGAGAGGGAGAGAGAGAGAGAAAAGAAACGAGAGGGAGAAAGAAAGAGAGAGAGAGAGAGAGGCAGTGAGAGTGCGAGAGGAAGCGAAGGGAGAAAGAGAGAGAACGAGAGAAGGAGAAAGAGACAGAGAGAGAGAGAGAGAGAGAGAGAAGAGAGAGAGAGAGAGAGAGTGAGAGAGACAGATTGAAAGAGAGAAAGAGAAGAAAAAGAAGAAAGATAATCAAGAGAAGAAAGGGAAGAAAGAGCAGAAAGAGTAGAAAGAGAAGAAAGAGAAGAAAGAGGAAGAAAGAGAAGAAAGAGAAGCAAGAGAAGAAAGAGAAGAAAGAGAAGAAAGAGAAGAAAGAGAAGAAAGAGAAGAAAAAGAAACAAAGATATTGAGGACAAGAGCATCTGAGAAACAGACTAAGAATGAGGGGGAGAAGGAGCTTTGTTGCAGCAGCTAGAGAGGTTTGCTCCTAGAATCTGAGCCCAAGCGAGAAACGCGAAGTGTTATTTTTTGCGTTGAGATTCTAATGGATGGGCTTTTTGCCTAGCATCTTGCTTGGAAAAGGGTAATGGTGTTCATGCCTCTTCTTGCCTAGGTGCACAGGAGGCCGGAGCTGGTTCACGCTCGCTTGAAGCCACGGGCTGTCCAAAGTTAAGGGGATGGAGCCAAACCTATTGCATAAGTGGACAAGAAAGTTAAAGAAGGTTCATGGAAGGCAGCTAGTCCTGTGCGTGGGGGTGCTGACCCAACGAAGCCCAAGATCTCCAGTGGTTCTTTGTCTGCGAGCAGGCGAAGTCCTGGACCGGATCCTGGAGCTAGGCGGGATTCCAAGCCATGGCCTGGTCCAGTGGTTACGGGAAATTCAATCCAGTAGTGAAAGCGGAAAAACATGATTCGGAAAGCATGAGCGCGAGAATCGGAAAACAGCCGGTTTCTGGGCATGGATGGCTGGGAGGGTCAAGATGGTCGGGTTGGTCAGGACAGTCGGGACGGTCTCGAAGGGCGGGGCGATTGGGATGGTTGGGACGGTTGGCGTGGTGGGGATCATGGGATGGTTGGTGGTCAAGGTGGTCGTGATGACCGGGTCGTGTTAGGTGGCTTTCAGGTTGGCTTCGGGGTTTAGGGTTGGTTTTAGCGTTGGTTTAGGGTTTGTTTAGGTGCTGTTAAGGCTGGTCTCTGGTTGGTTTGGGGTGTCTTTGGGGATGGTTTGGCTGGTGGGGATGGTTGGGATGGTCACGGTTGGTCTAGTGTTGTGAGGTGCCTGATGCCCTGGACTCAGATTTCATTGGGATGGTTGGATTGGGATGCTCTGCTGGCAAACGACGGCCGCAACAAGCTGGGCTGTCGGCCGAACACCCATCGAATTTCACGTTGAACATTCTCGTCGGCCGAATTTCACATCAGTGTCGGCCGATCGTGTCGGCGGAATTCCACATGCACCTCGATGGGGATGTGCAAGGATTGCTCGGTCAGGGAGAAAGCTGGGCTTCTCGGGGTGAATTGTGCAGAATGCAAACAGCCAAACAAGTGGTTGGTTGCAGCCAGTTGCTTGTTTTCAGGAGTGCTGCAAACGCAGATCCTGCAGTTTGTCCATAGTTTTCTCTCAGGTGGCCTTGGTGATGCCAGTTTCCCCCGAGCTGAGGCTACTTCACTGAGAGGCTAGCTGCACGACTCATGGCGCATCTGCTTGAAGCGTCTCCTGGCGGAGAATCGATCGCTCGATGGCTTTTTGCCAACTCGATAGCTGTCGAACGACGATGGTATTTGGCGACTTTTTGACCCTGAGATTCCCACCACCCTGCTATGTTTTTTTGATCAAGCTTTTGACAGACATCTCCCGTGCTCCCAAAAGTCTCAGGAAGATGTGCACGCTTCCAATCTGGGAATTATGGTTGGTCGAAGTGTTGACATGTTCCCATTCAACCAAGGCGTGTGTGTGTGAGATAGCTGTGGGCCTGCGTTGTCCGTGTGTTGCCAGGATCAACCATGTGCACGAGCGAGGCGCCGCTTTTCGGAAGTGACGTCTGGGTCCGAGTCGGGGCAGGTTCTGCCAAGCCAAGTCCCATATCCTTTTTTGATTTTTTGCATCAATGTTTGGCAATGGTCAATTGCGGGAATATGTTTGCTAAGTAAACCGATCATAGATTCAACTGGAACTATCTCCCAAGGTATTTGATGATTCACTCAGAATCAGCCACACGAATAAGACATCGCTGTCCCTGACATCAAGTCACATGGCAATCAACCCCGGACATGTAGGCGCCCTCCCCCCCCTTCCCAGTGCCAGGTGTCAAGTTTACTCCAGCTGTTGGTTCCCTGGTGCGCAAAGACTAGTCAGATTGGGCTTCCTCAAATGGGTTCGTTTTGGAGAACTTTAAATGAAGGTGCAAAACGCGTGCAACAAAAGCGCAGACTATGGGCAAGCCTACCATATCGTTTTTGAGTCTACAACATTAATGAGAACTCCATGAATTGGACAACCTCGCTGGGAACTGCTGTTATTGTTTGCAAACCACAGTTGAAATCCGCTTTCGCAGAAACCAGATGTCTTTTTGCATCCGACAGCCTTTGATGTGTGTAATGCCCACTTGGATTGGGATGCTGAAGGTCCCCTAAATGATGCTGCTATGCTGTTTTTGGGGTCCTTAAGGGAGGGGCATTCATGTCCGATTCATTCAACATACTCAGCACCGCAATCAAATACAAGGCGGGCAGATTGACATGGTGTGAATATGAATGTTGGAACGCAAGGGAGGCAGGTTGCTTCGGCTACCTTTGTCTAGGACTGGGCGGGGCTCGCGACGCGCCCTCCTTTTGAGGAATCACACGGGTGTGAATCAATCTTTGAACGCATCTCCAGGGCCATGTTTTGGTTCTTGGGCTGGCCAACTAAGGTCATGCTGGCCCATCAAACATGTTCGCATCACCTGAAAGGCTTGTGGACAGCTTGACACGAGCCAGCTGAGCTTTCTTGCTTGCTCTCGTTGGCAGAAAGCTCGTTTGGCCCGTCCTTTGCCTGCCTTCCAAACATGGTTGGGCGCCAAAAGCCGGTTGCGTGGCATCTCCTCTCCAACAGTTGGGTGCAAGTTTCTTTAGGTTGGTTTTCGCGGGAGGCCCAAAGGAATCTAATCTTTTTCGGGGTTCCATATCCAATGTTTGAGGACACAGGGTGCTTTTTTTTGGTTTGTGTGTGTTCTGAGACTCTTTCTGTTTTAGGGGGGGGCCGCCTCCTGGGGGATGTCTTCGGGCTGCTTTTTACAGGGGCTGGTTCGGACTGCTTGGAACCAGCCGCATAGCGCACATCAGCTCCACGCCATGCAACAGCAGCCTGGATATCAGCCCCTTTGCCAACCCCAAGGCCCTCATGCGGATCTCGCATGCCCAACTCTCAACCCCCACAGGCCAGGGATGCTGGGGATGCGAAGCCCAACAAGTTACATGACCAAGATGGCTCTACCAACTTACTTCAGCCATTTTTTATGGGTCAGGCATTGCGCACCGGGATCTCAAGCTGGAGAACTGTCTCTTGTCCGGGCGGCTGGAGGACGCGGACCTCAAGCTGGCACCTTTGCTTTATCGCTTTCGCTCTTTTTTTCCTCCGCAAGGGCGCCTTCTTTTTTTGGGTGGTTTTAAGGTGAAGCCAAAGGAAGACCCGAAGCCAGGCTCGGGGGTACCCGTATTTTGACACAGATTCAAACGGGATCTTTGGATGGGCTTGTTGCGAAGTAGTAGATCGTCCTCTTTTGGGGAAGTCAAAGCCAATAGATTTGGTTGGCTTTTGCGATTTTGAGAAACCATGTATCTACCAGGTGTTCCTCGTGTTTCTCGTCTACGGCCGATCACTCCTGTGCAGGGTGCAGAGGCCCATGGTGGTAGCCCTGTGTTGCCATGCACGACATGCTGTTTTTCAAGCCCTTTTTTGACCTTTCCCCACAGCAAGCTTTTAGTGCGCTGTGCGTATATTCATATATGTATCACATGCATCCTTGTTTTGTTGCCGGGCTGGGCAACGAACACCCGGTAAATCTAGCTGGGAGGCACGGGGAGGAACCCACACAAACGAGGGGACACACAAAAGCAATCTTGCTTACAGAAAGAGTTTGGACTAGCCTGATGTGCCAGCAGTGACAGCAGTTTGCAACTCGAGGAGCCCAGATTCCTTGCCTTTCAGGGTGTTTTTTTTCAATCAATTTGTGCCTTGTATTGTTTGGGACGATCCCATCGGCCCACGCTGCGTTTCAACTCAGCAGGTGAAAGTTAGATATTGGAAGACTGGTGGGGGAGTCAAAAACTGCAGCTGAATTCTGGTACTGGCTCTCAGGTCCCCTGTAGCTGAGCTGCGCCTCCCAGTATTGTGGCTGGAACAACCAAGCAGGCATTCCTTTTTCCTGGTTTGGCTCTTTGTTTTGTTGGCCTTATGGCCCTGCCTCGTGTTCCCTTCCCTCACTTCGTCTGGAGTCGGTGGGAGGCGCTGAGTTTGCAGCTGAAGGAGGTCATCCAGTCAGTTTGGCATGGATCTCAGATGTCGGTTGAAGTATCCTCACAGCTTCTACACCTTTTGCCTCCGCGAGTTACTGTGGAGAGTGATCAAGGAGGTCAAGGAAGGTTTCAGCGCGAACAGGGTCTGTTGCGCAGTATAATCCTACCTGGTCTGCGGAATGTGCCCACTTTGGTCGGAGCACTTGCAGCGCCTTTCTCGGTTGTTTCGGTTGTTTTTGCGCCAGGTCAGGACCGCACAATGTGATGCCAGTGGGCACAACCCGGCTTCCACACTTCTTTCCGGGTCCTTCGCAGGGTGTCGACCGGGCAGAGCTTGCAGCGATCATCTGTGTCAGGTGCGCGGGGAGGAAGGGATTCTCCGCATGATGCGCTTTTCCGCCGCCCGAACTTGGACTTGGTCCGACTTGCCTATGAGCACCTTCAGCAACGCCCCACTGCGGTTTTCCAGGTACAATGGATGAAGGCGCACCGTGATATCGCTTCCGCCGTATCTCAACACGTGGCAATGCAGCAGCTGACAGGGAGCGAACGAGGCCCAGACTTTGTGGGCCCCACCGTCAAGCATCTTGACGGCAAGGGTTTTGCAGAGGAACGCCGAACCTTAGCGCAACTCACAGCCTTAGCCGAACTTCACGCCAGGTTGCGAGGGTCTTTGCAAAAAAGAGCAAGCCATGGCAGCTCAGAGCTCGCCAAATGGGGTAGCCAACCCGTTTTGCGCTCTCGCAGCAGCGTGGTGCTCGAGCGACTTCGAGGTGGGGCAGGTTGTTCTCCGGGTGTTGTTTGCTTTTTGGCTCGCTTTTTTGTGGCTTGGTTGGTTTGCTCTCGGCTCCCCCCTCTCTTTCAGTTTGATTTGTGACTTCAATGGATGAATCTTTGTGAACACTGTGATAATCCCTGAGCCACAATCAAAACCAAAACTGGGCAGATGAAGGTTCGTAAGGCGCAATCCCAACCATAGCTGGGTGCAGGTTTTGATGACGTAATTGCCAAGTCCGTCATGCTGGTTCTCCACGGGTAGGCGCGGCCAATCCGCCCAAGGCCGACTTTGGCTTGGCGAACCACTGCAGCCACTCTGAAGCAATTTCGCAGGCCATGGGCCTGAGGGGGCCCACGACATTTGCACTTGGTTGGGCGCATGCTGTGTTGGGAAAAGCGTATACGTGTACATAGAGATATACTTAGATGCATGTATTTGCTGGTGTGACATGAAAGTAGTTGTGAACGATGTATGCGCATCCATCCATGCAACCCATCTCATGACTTCGGAGGTTGAATTGGAGAGATATGGCCATCTCATCCCATCCTATCCCATCCCATGCCCTCCCATCCCGTCCCATCCCATCCCATCCCATCCTACTGAGCATGATCCATCCTTGCTGCCTCTCTGTCTCTTCTCTATCTCTGTGCTCTCTGCTCTCTGCTCTCTGCTCTCTGCTCTCTCCTCTCTCTCTCTCTCTCTCTCTCTCTCTCTCTCTCTCTCTCTCTCTCTCTCTCTCTCTCTCTCTCTCTCTCTCTCTCTCTCTCTCTCTCTCTCTCTCTCTCTCTCTCTCTCTCTCTCTCTCTCTCTCTCTCTCTCTCTCTCTCTCTCGCTCTCTCGCTCTCTCGCTCTCTCGCTCTCTCGCTCTCTCGCTCTCGCGCCTCTGCTCTGCTCTCGCTTCGCTCTCGTTCTCGCTCCGCCTCGCCTGCCTCCGCCTCGCGCTCTGCTCGCCTGCCTCGCTCTCCTCTCCCTCTCCCTCTCCCTCTCGCTCTTGCTCTCCCTCTCCCTCTCCCTCTCCCTCTCTCCCTCTCTCCTCCCTCTCCCTCTCCCTCTTCCCTCTCTCCCTCTCCCTCTCTCCCTCTCCCTCTCCCTCTCCCTCTCCCTCTC